CAGCTCCTGCCAGCCAGGCCATTTTAGTTTCTTTACCAAACTGGTGCTGAGCCTGGTTTATCCCGACAGGTCCACTTTGAGGTTCCACTGTATTTACAGAGCCCAGATAGGACCCTGCTTGGAGTAAAAAAAAATGTTATTAGAAACAGGATGAAGCTGTACCTAAACCTCAAGGTGACAATCAATATCTTGTTGAGATCCTTTTCTTTACAACTCCCTTTAGAACAATCTGATGTTGTTGATTGCACTGGAAATAAATTAATCTTTACTCAGAAGTTTATTTAAGAGAGACTCAATTCAGTCTCCAATTCCCTCGCTCAAGAGCAGCAGATGGCCTGAAGCCAGAGGAACAGACCATGCTTCCAAGAGCCATCTGCACCCATCCGATTGCTGTTTGACTGCCTGGGCCTGACATTCCTAATTATATCTACCCATTATTTCTTCTGACTGCAGAGATGGTTCTGCTGGGTCAGATGATGGGACCCAGAAACAATAGCCAGAAAAAAATTTAAAACTCGATAGGGACAGTGGAGTTCAGGCTTGCCTGAGGCCAAAACGCTCAACCCAACCCAGACCATCCTGCAGCCAGACCATGGCCTCATGCACTGGAACACAATCAACGACACAAAAACAAATGATATCACAAGCCCTGGTGTCTGGATCAGAAAATAAACAAATGGTTCAACGTAGTGCACACACCCCACAGCAGGCAGGGCCAAGAAGAAGAGAGCAGCAAAACTCAGTGGGGCTTCAACAAAGTCAGAGCAACTTTTAAACACACCAAGAACTTGTCAAAACTCCCAAACTCCCATTGATGTCTGCGTAATCCTTCCCTCAGATATCCCAGTGCTGCCATGGCCCGTTGAGGATGGAGATTTCATGCCACCATGCTGAGTGCATGCTCAGCCCTCTCCTGCCCCAGAGCTGTCTGCTGGGCCCCACAGACCCCAGGGACCCAGACGTGCTGCAGGGACTGCACAGCTCTGCCCTGAGCTCCCAAACGGGGCAGGTACTCAGACACACCTCTCCTGGAAGGTGGGGGTGAAGAGAAGGGTAAGCCCCCAACACCTCACTGGCTCTGAGGCTCCAGGTCTGCTTATCCCTGGTGGGAATTTCTGGCAGGTACCTGCTGTAGGAGAGGCTCTGGGGCTCAGAGAGCATTCTCTGACTTTTTAGCTCGAGCAACATTTGTTAACGACCCTGAATCACAAAGGAGAGCAGGGAGGGATTGAGGAGCTTCACCGAGCCAAGATGTCCATTCCCCCTGCAGGCACTGGCGTTGCACCAGAGACAGGCCCTGCAGGTTTAACCTCACTCAGCAGGAAGACAATTCTCCTGTCTGTCATGGTATCTCCAAATGTAATGCAGCCTAATGAGACAACGCAGATTGCTGGCAGAACCCAGGCACCAGCACGCCCTGGCCCTGCTCCAAGGGCTTTATCCCACTTTATCACGCTGGAGGACCTGATCCATCGTAGATAAGTGATAACAGCAGCTTTATCAGAGCCCACAGCCCAACACCTGCATCACTGCCTCCCTTCACACACTGGGGAGTGCATTTCCCCAGCACCCAGAGCAAACCATTTACTCTACCAGCCTCCCCCAGACCCGGCAGCCAGTCTGCAGTCTACAGAAACCTCCCAGAGGTTTCTGGCAGCCAGTGAGCAGTCTACAGCCCCGAGCAAGTGCTGACCAGCTGAAATCAATGCAGGGCAATGAAATCAGAGGGAATGAACTGTAAATTGCAATGATTCCAAATCAACCTGCAATTTAGGTCCATTGTTTGGTGTATTTGCTCACAGACTGTGTCTCTGGTGGCTTAATTACTTGTGTATTTGCCTTGAGAAGTACAGCTCTAATAGTGGAAGACTTAAATCCATCTCAGGAGTTTCTGCTTCACTGTCTTCCTGGCCTGCTCCTGCTTGTTCTCTGCTGCCCAACCCTATTAACTGCTGTAGTATCTCCCTGGATTGCCTGTACAATACATCTAGGGGAAACTGAAGCCGTGCTGAAGTAATTCCTTCCCCATGAGCTAGGAAGGAATCAGAATTTTGTCCTCTGAATCCACTGAGTACGGATTCTTAATTTCTTGCATTAAATAACCTCTGCCTTGGTCCTTTCTGGCTGAGTCCAGCCTCAGGGGGAGCCCAGAGCAAATCCTCCAGCACCACAAATTCGGTGAGTATGTTTTGCCACTTTTACTGGCTTTGCTGAATCGGGAGATCTGGGAATGATCCAGACTTATCTCGGGTATCTGAGATGGCAGCGGAAAGAGAGATCAGACAGTGCCTGTTCAATCAGTCAGCACTAAAGGAGCTACAATATTCAGCCTTATCTCCTAAGGACAATTTCACCAAGCTTGCTAAATCTGCCCGTGAAGAACAGACTGAAATGACCTGATTATTTTTCAAAGGCCCTAGATTCAATAACAGAATCGGGGATTGGAAATATCACTGAAGTCCAGGGAAGAGAGGACTCTGGAAAGGCTCAGCTGTGGTGGTGGGTAATACAGTGGGATGAGAACTGGGGAAGATCTGGGCCCTGAACCAAGGAGATGCACACTCTGATTGATTCAATTACTGCCTGTCTCACAAAGGCTTTGAGGCTTTTTCTTAGGACCAACACCGGAGAGTAAACCCAGATTCATAATCTTGCAGAACTAGAGCAGAAGCAGAACTAGAGCAGAAGCAGCTCTGGTGGTGCCGGGCAGGGTCCCGTTGCTGCAGGGTGGGACTGGCACTGCCCAGGGGCAGGCAGGGCTGCAGGACCCGGTGTCACCCCAGCCCCTGTGCCGTGCTCACAGCACATCAGGACGGCGCTCCGGGGCTCTGACACGCCAGGGTGCTCGCTCCAGCCCCGTGCAGCACGGACCAAAAGGCAAATTGATGTGCTCCTGTCAGGGTGTGTTAGTGGGATTCCTGAGAAGCACTCCAGCAATGCTTCTTCTATCACAGAGCAGCCTTGCCTGGTGCTCCCCGGGCCTCTTTCTGCCAAAAGAGAGAGGTTTTGGCTTGCAGGATCCTTCCACAGCCCCCCAGAGATGCTGGTTCAGAGCAGAGTGCCTTCCCCTGCCCTGGTTATCCATTCCCCCCGGGCTTCTGGAGCACCTCAGCACCCGTGCCATGGCTGGAGGGCGTTGGAGGGCTCTCTGCAGGGCCCTCCCCACTGTGGACAGAGTGATTCCTCATCACACTCTGTTGTACAGATTTGTCCCTGAATTGCTCCACTCCCTTTCTGGTTCTGCCTTCCAGCTGACACTCACTTTAACCGGGCAGGTCCTCCTGTGACAGACTTCTGTGTCAGCACTCTGGGGTTCCTCATTCCTGCCTGCTCGCCTCTTGACCTTCCGCTCCAGGAGGATGTTCACACACTGCTGTTTGTCTGGGGCTGAGGCACTGAGCTGGAGCCATCCCCTTTGCAAACCCCTCACTGACAGCCCCTGGCCAGTGTCCCACTCTGCCAGGACCCTTCACACAGCAGGTGAGAGGAGAAGTGTCAGAGTAAAAGCCCATGTGGGAGTCGCAGTGCTGATGTTGGGCGGCTGTAAATCACTGCTGTATCCTCAGGGGATGGAAGGAGATCTTCCAGTGACACAGTCAGGAGCTCTCTGGGGTACAACACAGTCCTGGGGACTGCCATGATGGGGAGAAAGTGGCCTCAGTCTGTTCTGGGGGTCCCAACCCCTGCACTGGACCGGGCAGCTGCTCATTCTGTCCAGAACCCAAATCTGGGAAATAGGGAAATGACACCTCACATCTGATGGTGACGTCACAGTAATGACACCACAGGGATGTGGCTTGAAATATTCCCCAATAACTCAACCAAAGTGGCTCTTCTGTCTGCTTTCAGGTAACTGAGCTGCCCTCAAAATCCTCATGCAGAAAATACCTTTGTAGGCACCTTCCCTGTACACATTCCATCCAGAGTCTCTACCTCCAAGCCATTTCTGCCAGTCCTCCCCTCACTCCAAGGGAAGGGTGGGAAGGATGCACTGTGATTTTCCAGGCAGTGGCAGGGATGCATTCCCAAGGAAGATGAGGTGGCTGGAGTGGGAAGTGTCTCAGCACAAAGCAGATCTGCCATCTCCAGCCACTTTTTGAATTTAGATCTTGCTGTTATCTGCAGCGTTTTGGCTCACAACCAGTCAGCTGGGAAGGAAGGAGTTACTTGATGACCCAAAGGGAAACCCAGAGCTCCCTCTTGCCATGGCAAGGCATTGAGAGGGAAGGGGATTCTGGAGGTTTGTGCTTTCTGCTCTTTCCAAGGGTCATAGTGGAAGAAAGCCAGGGAAGCAGCTTTGCTTTGTGTGTTTGGGTTTCTGAAACTTTTAGTGGAAGCATCTAATTCTGGGCAAAAACAGCGTTGTCACTCAAAACCCCACAGCTGTGCCAAAAAAGGTTGTTTGGAGAGGAAAAGAAGATTTTTCTGCTTGAGAAAACAAAAGCAGCTCAAGCTGGCAGCCAGAGTCAGAGAGCAGCAGTGCAGGGGGTTGGATGGCTGTCCATCATCCCAGTCCATCAGAACTGGGAGAGCAAGCCAGCATCCCAACCAGCCCATCAGCAAGGGCTGAGCTGCACTCACTCTTCCCCAATCCCTGCATCCTGCTCTGGCCAGGCCCTCTCAAAACTCCCCAAAATCATTTGGGCTCTGTGCAGGGGAAGGGTTTTTGGTCCCTGCTGGGTTGGGCATCACAGTGGAGGAACCTGCTGCATTTTGGCATTTTCCTGGGAACCCAGTGACTATTTCAGAGAAAAAGCAGAGTTCTCTGTCATGGAACACCCCAGGGTGAGTCATGAGTGGTGGGTGAAGGGGAGGAAGTAACTGTCTTAAAAAGAAAACATCCAGGGTCTGTGGGTGAGTACTGCCCAAAGAAGTAGCAGGAGAACACAGCTTGGAAAACTCTTAGGACATCCATGTGTATGTGGGCCTGGCTTCATCCTGAAGGATTTCTTGTGAAAAACCACGGGGAAAATTCCACCTCAGAAGCAAGAAGCTGGAAAATGAAGATTTTCTTGGTTTGGACCCTTTTCCTCATGAGAGCCACGAGCACAGGTCAGGCAAATCTATATCAGGGGTTCTGGCAGAGCTGTGGAGAGGCTGGGGCTGAGGCAGACTGAGAAGCTCACTGTGGTCATGGCAAAAGACCAGCTGATGCCAAACTTTTCCTCTGGTAGTTACAGAGTGTGATCTGTGAGATTTGCTCGTTCCCTGCCATGTGAACCCTGGGAATAAGGCTTTTCATTCTCTTACTAACATTCACCCTTGATGGGGGCTCTTTCTTTAATGACTGGTGACTGCTCACCAGCAGAGTGAGTGCACAGGCACAGCCTCCTCGGGCTGTACTCCCCGGGCTCAGATCCTTCATGGTTCCCTGAGGCAGTGCCAGAATGGGTTTGCAGCTCCTCTCTCTGTCCCCTGCAGGTGACCGGGAAGTGACAGGCCCCAGGCAGGTGACAGCTGAGCAGGGCAGCTCACTGGCAGTGTCCTGCAGCTACAAGCCACGCTACAAGCTCAACTCCAAGTACTGGTGCCGCAAAAGCTCCCTCTGGCTTTGCTTGACCTACATCATCCAAACCGATGGCTCAGAGGTGACAGTGACACGGGACAGGGTGTCCATCAGGGACAACCACACAGCGAATTCATTCACAGTGACACTCAGCAGTGTCACACCAGGGGATGCAGGCCAGTACTCCTGTGGGGTGAAGAGGAAAGTGGGGCTCAGCCGATGGCACAGCACCAAGGTGATGGTCTCTGCAGGTAAATCAGGGCTGGAAGCAAAGCTTCCCCCTTTTTCCTCTTCTTCCTCTGCAGTGCTCAGGGCATTGCCCAGATACCTCCATATCCACCCCTGCACCTTCATTGCTGAAGTCTCGGGGACAGAGACTCCTGTGCAGGGTACAGGACAGGGGGTATGGGGGTATCCACTTTGTTCTGACTCTGTTTTCTCTGCCAGCTGTTTCAAACACAACTGAGGACAGCAACCTGAGCCCATTGACCACCAACCCTCTGTGCCCCAGGGGCTGTGGGGAGCCTCCAGTGCTGTGAGTTAGGGCTTGGGATCCAGGCAAACCCCCAAAAGCATCCCCTTGACAACACCTTCATTTCCCATGCGTGTATCTCCTAGCTTTGAGTCCCAAGGAGCATCCTGGCAGACATGCAAGTGCCCCAGTCCCCATCCTCATTCCCCAGAGCCTAAAAAAGCTCTAGCATAACCTCCTTTCTCCTACACAGGTCCCAGGCCAGTGTCATCTACTTGCTGCTTCTGCTCAGCATCAAGGTGCCCATGGCCCTAGCCGTGGTTGGTGGGGCAGCCTGGCTGAGGAGCCGTGACCAGGACATCCTGCAGCGCTTGGAGGCACCCAGCAGCACCAGGGCACGGGGCTGCCCACCCGTCCCAACCACCTCCGAGCCCCAGGGATGCCCTCCTGCCCCCTGACCCCCACTCTGCTGGGGCTGTGCCTGCCCCGTGCCGGGAGGCGCTCGGCTCCGGGTCCTTCTGGCCCTGGAAAGCCTCGGCCCCTCCTGGCAGCCCCTGCGCTGCAGAGGGAAGGGCTTGGACTGCAGAGAGCCTGTGTCTGTTGAGCTGCAGCTGCCAATGGAAGACAATTTTGCAATAAAGTCTGGGTATCCTGCAGGGCCTTCTCTGCTTCTCTGTCTGTCTGTCTGTCTGTCTGCTCCTTCCTTCAGCTGCCAGCACTGCCCAGGATGCCCGTGTCAGCTGAGGCTGATGCACATACCTGTGTGGGGACAGCTGCATTGTGGCTGGGGGGGGACATGGGCTCACAGGGGCCGTGCAGGTTCCACCATGGCCCAGCTGAGCTTCCTCATGGGGAGAGGAGCCCTCAGCCCCAGGAGCCTCAGCCCTGCCACCTCTGCCTGGTCCAGCAAATGCCCATCTCCAGCTTAGCAATAGCCAGGCAAGGGTGTTCTTCCACAACACTGCCCCCACTCAGCATCTGCAGGGACTGGGGACACAGGGGGAGGCCTGGAGGGACCTGATCAGAGCATGGGGCGCCTGAGCCTCAGAGGGGCTGTGCTGGCAAGAGAAATGGGTGCTCCTGTCCAGCTGCACCAAGATAAGGGGATGGGGTTACCCAATTCATTCCCCTGGGAAGGACAGGGTGGCCATGCAGGAGCACTGCCCAGCTTGGAGGATTGTGTGGGCTTCAGGTGGTGCCTGTGCTGTTCTGAGCTACCTCTCCCCCGGGTGCCCTGCCCAGCCAGAGGGGCTGGGCAGTGTGGCAGGGAGAGACAGGCTGTGTCCCGCATGGGGGCCATGCTGGAGGAAGAAAGCAGAGACTCTGGGGAAGGGCACGGGGGACCGTGCACAGTGAGTAATCTCAGTGACCAGGAGAAGCTGAAACTCTAGGAAACAGGAAACGCCACGATCTTGCTGGATCTCCAGCAGCAACGAAAGTGCTACCAGAGGCAAAAGAGGAAGCAAAGCCCCAGAGACACAATGAAGAGGAGCAGCAGGGCTGCCACGACGCGTCCATGTGGCTCCTGCTGGTGCTGGCCTTGGCACTGCTGCCAGGGGGGTCTCAGTGCACCGCTGGGGCTGGAACCCCACGCCGGATCCAGCAGAAGGAGTGGGAGGTGCCTGGGCAGCAGCAGCGCTCCCGGGCTCCGTGTGTCTCCACAGGCTGCAGGGCAGTGACGGGGCCCAGCACCGTCTGGGGATTCCTGGGGGGTTCCCTGTCGGTCACCTGCACCTACCGGTCGGGCTTGGAGGAGTTCCCGAAATTCTGGTGCGTCCCAAGTAGAAAGTTTGTTTTTACCTGTGATAACAACATCGTCATCACCTCGGAGTCGCAGCCCACGGTGCTGCAGGGCCGGTTCTCCATCCGAGACAACCGCACACGCCGGGCATTCACGGTGACCGTGCATGGTCTGTCCGAGGAGGACGCGGGCACCTTCCGCTGTGGAGTGCGAATGCGAAGACTTGTGCCTGATGAGAGTGCTGCTGTGAAGGTGATCGTGCTCTCAGGTCAGTCCCTGACGAATCCCCCAAGGCAACAGCGACAACAGGGTTGGAGGACTGGGGCCAGACTGGGGCCAGGTGGAGCACAGGTTGCGAGAGGGGAAGATGGAGAGGAACGCGGTGTCCATGTGGCACTCCCTGCATCCATCTCTCCTTCCCATCTGCCGCACCGCCGCTCCAGCCGGTCCAACCACACACACCTGATGTTCATAGTGACTGTGGAGGGTCTGGCCAAGGAGGGCAAGGGCACCTTCTGGTGCGGGCTGTCAATGGGGAATGTACCTGCTTGATGAGAGCGCTGCTGGGAAGGGGATGGCGTTCTTGTGTCAGATTCTGCACGTTCCCCCCACAGCAAGAGTGACCCCCACGTCGCGGGACTGGGGCCAGACTGCGGGAGGAGGTTTCACCCCGAGCGTGACAGGAACACGGTGCCCGTCTGGCACTCGCTGCATCCATCCTTCCTCCGCGTCCGCAGCCCCGACGCTCTCTCCGGACGCTCCGCCGAGGAGCCGCGGCACTTTCCGCTACTTCCCCGTGCTGGCCGGGCTGCAGCTGCTGGCGCTGCTGGCCATGAGCGCTGCGGTGCTCTGGGTCAGCCTGCGGCTCCGCTAAGCCCCCGCCGGGACCCCAGAGCCCCGGCCGGCGCCGCTCGACCCCCGCCTGCCCCGCTCCCGACGGCGCGGGCAGGCGGAGCCGCACCGGGGCCCCGCCGGGCCCTTCCCGCTTCAGTAAAGGCTTCAGTAAAGGCTTCAGTAAAGGCTTCAGTAAAGGCTCCCTGACCCCGCTCATTACCCGGGCCCCGTCTCCTCGGCAGCCCCCGCTGCCCAGCAGTTCCCTTTCTCCGCCCCACCGCGGTGGCCGCGGCGCGGGGGCGGCCCCGGGGGCGGGCCGAGCTCCGCCGAGAGCGGCCGGGAGCGGCAGCGCGCTGAGCCCCGGCGTCCCGCAGCGGCCATGCAGCTCCTGCCTCTGCTCGCCTGGGCGCTGCTGCCAGGTAAGGCTGCGCCGGAGCCCCCGACTGCCGGGGCGGCCCCGTCGGGCGGCAGCTGCCGCTGCGGCGGCCGCACTCCCGCGCTCCGTGTGTCTCCACAGGCTGCGGGGCGGTGACGGGGCCCGGCACCGTCTGGGGATTCCTGGGGGGTTCCCTGTCGGTCACCTGCACCTACCGGTCGGGCTTGGAGGAGTTGCCGAAATTCTGGTGCGTCCCAAGTAGAAAGTTTGTTTTTACCTGTGATAACGACATCGTCATCACCTCGGAGTCGCAGCCCGCGGTGCTGCGGGGCCGGTTCTCCATCCGGGAGAACCGCACACGCCGGGCATTCACGGTGACCGTGCATGCTCTGTCCGAGGAGGACGCGGGCACCTTCCGCTGTGGAGTGCGAACGCAAAGACTTGTGCCTGATGAGAGTGCTGCTGTGAAGGTGATCGTGCTCTCAGGTCAGTACTTGTGGGCTGCAGGGCCCCCAGATCCAGCATGGATATGTCCTACTCTAGCTGCTTGGAGCAGGGGCTGCGGTGTGGGCCGCCTGCAGCTGATGGGTGTCCATGCAGGTGTGACAGCCCCAAGGTGTGCTACCAGAGTGCAGTAGGTGCCACCACCACTCATTCCCTCTCCTTTGCTCTACCCAGAGCCTCTTCTTGGCACCCCCGGTGCCAACTCCATTACTGAGGTGTACTGTGCTCTCTGTGCCCACTGTTCTTCCTCATTAGCTGTTGCTAATGCCTCTGCCCTCCTTGCCTTCCTGTGTAACACTGGCTGTTCCTCATTGCACTCTGCTGCCCAGTTTCCCATTGGGAGAGGCAGCACCCCTGCTTGGAAAACAGGCAGGCCCTGGGCTTGGAAAACATCCCTGTCCATTGCCTTTCCAGGGATCAGCCTGCATAGCAGGACAATATATATGTGCTGTTGTTGTGGTAGAACTAAACTGGGCATGGGGTGCCTAGACCCCTTTCTGTAAGGTGAATCTGTTCTGTGGATGGTTTGGGGGGGGACTGAGACTGTGAAAAGCCTCACAGGCAGAGGAGGAGTCTTACAGCACTCTGACCTCGAGATGTGACCTCGAGTTGTGGCAGAGGGGACCCAGCTTCTCCTTCTGTGACAGCACGTATGGCACTTCTGACTCACTGCAAAACCCATAGCATTTTTCTCTGCAGAGATCAACCATTCCTCTCCTCTTTTTGTTACAGCTCCTTCCATCGTCCCATCATCGATCTATGTGACCTCCACGTCCTCTGATCTCATTCTCTCAAGCCACACACAGACAATTTCCCAGGGGGAAATTTTGCAATCAACATCAAATCCCTCCACCCCTCAACTGTGAGTAGCAGCTCCTGCCTACAGCAGCCACTTTCCTCCATGAGCTGGAGCCCTGTAACCATCAGACTCTTCACACCTCCCTTAAGGATCCAGACATGCTGGTTTTGCCTTTAGAAACCACTCCACATGGAAAAATGCTTCTCTGTGAGGGTGGTGAGGTCCTGGCACAGGTTGCCCAGAGACGTCGTGGGTGCCCCATCCCTGTTCAGGGCCAGGCTGGATGGGGCTGAGAGCAGCCTGGCCTAGTGGAAGGTGTCCCTTCCCATGGCAGAGGGTTGGAACTGGATAATCTTTAAGGCCCCTTCTGACCCAAATCATCTCTAAATCTATGACGGTAATTCCAGTGCCTCTAGTCACATGGGAGTAGTGGTTTCTGCTGCAATACCGACCTCATTTCCTTCCCCAAAACTCAGTGAGACTGTCCGTGGGAAGCCAAGTGTCCTGCTCTTTGTAGTTACACACAGCCTGGTAGAGACAGTTGAAAAAGCATGAAACCAGGGTGTTAGACCTTCCCTGTTCCTCTCCTGCCTGTGGGAGGTGATGCCAGCAGCAGACAAAGCTGAGACTCCCCATCAGCACGCTGAAGGGTGTGCTGGCTCACCGACTTCTCCTGCTTGCCCATTACAAACAAGGTTAACAAAGAGTGAAGTTAATGCAAATGCAGGAACCCATCCTTAAATCACTGAAGCCACAGTGGCTCTCAGACCCAAGCATCCTTTTGCTTCTGCAGTTTTTGGTTTGCTCTGCTCCATGCCCAGCTGGCAGCCTGACCATCCCATGCCTGCTGTGATGGGCAAGCCTTGCCACTCTACTGCCACAGCTACTTTCTGTGTCACCCCCAGCTGCTCCCTGCAACCCTGCTCCATGCTGGTTCATCCTGAGAAGCATGGCAACATAAATTGTCTTCTTCATTCTTTTTTTCCTTGCAGCATGAATGTGGTTGAGCACATCCTCACTCCAGCCATTGTTGTGGTCCTTTTTTTGCTTGCAGTGGCTGCTGGTGTTCTAGTAGTACTCTCCAGGAAGAAAAAGGGTGAGTGGAATTGTCAGTGCCACACACATCCTGTTTCTGTAACACAGCCTGCTCTGCTTCCCTTATTTTTCTCTCTGTTTCTTTTTCCTCCCCCATTCTCTTCCTGATCCATCCAGTTCCTCAGTCCATCATTGAGACCTCCACCATGGGATCTCCTTCCCTCAAGGCAGCAGTGGGTCTATCCCATGGGTGTTATCCCATGGGTGCTGTCCCCTGGGAGCAGGGAATGACAGCCCTTGGGGTGGGTGCTGCTGGGCACAGAATCTGCTTGAGTTTGTCTGGGCACTGTCAGTTGCATGGGCCAGGTTTACACTAGGCCTGATGCAAAGTTTAAGGAAGTGTGAAGGATGGGGAGGGACAGGAGAGGACATTGCCAGCTGGCAGGTGGGGTCTGGCTTTGTTTGAAGAACTGCTCCAGTTAGATGGCTCATGGAGTGTGAGGTTCCTGCCCTGCTTTATGGCAAGATTTGCAGTGGCAGTGCATTTTCTCAATATGTTTCTTTTCCTCTGTTTTCACTCATGTCCAGCCACATCCATGCTTCATCCAGCCCTTTCTGGAGCAGCCATAGAGATGGACAGGACTTGCACCATGTCACCTACAGTAAGGAAAACCTCACGAGTTCTTGGGATTCTGTGCCCCAAGTTCACATGAAGAAGGGAAACATTGCACCCCGAGCTGCCAGAGGTGCTGCTTTCACTGAGGTTCATGGCACTGTAGGCTGGGAGGGATCCTTTGGGCTCTGCTTGCCAACAGAAAGACACAAACAGGGACTTTCTGTGACTATCACAGAGTATTCCTGGGAAAGGAATTTAGAATTGATCTGAGAGGTTTCTCTCCAAGCCTCTCCAAGCATGGCAGCTACTTCTCTGGGTGAAACAGCCGTGGGAACCCACAGCAAATCACACTTGAAGTGGCTGCAGGGCAGCTGCTCCTTGCTTACTGCTTGGAAAGTATTTTCTGATTTTTTGCTGCCAGCTCTTGAGGAGGGGCTGGTGTCACAAGAATTCCCCTGGGGAATGTTGAGCCAGCCCTTGCTTCAATTCTTATTTCCACCCAGTGCCCCTGCAGCCATCTCAGCACCCATCAGGACAGGCAGCAGGGTGGGAGACATTCCCACCCCTGTGGCTGCAGGCAGGGAGAGGCAGCAGGGTAAGAGCTCATCCCTCTCCATCAGGGAGCAGAAGCCTTGAACTATGCGGACATTACCCACGGCACGGGCGCGGCTGGGAGCCAGCACGGCAGCGCTGAGGCTCTGCGCCGCCTGGAAACGCTCCCGGTGGAGTACACAGAGGTCAGGCTGAGTGCTCAGGTAGGAGAACGCCAAGCACTGCCCAGCCGGGAGGAAAGCTGGAGTGGGTGGGTGACAGAATGAGCAGCAGGATGGGCTGGGTGGGGAAGGGGAGGACTGCAAAGGGAAATGCCAACCCGGGGTCCGAGTGTCCCTGGCTAATGTGGGTGCCCTCTCTGGTCCCTGTGGCTGCTCCTGGGTGCTTAAAACATCACAGAGAGGTTCCAGCAGACAGTGTTTGCCTGGAGCAGTCGCACAAAGGATGTTTTTGTTTATCTCCCTCCTTTTCCAGCTTTTGGAAGAGGAAAGAGAGGCGTTATATGCCAGAGTGCAGAAGCCCATGCCGCAGCAGGAGCAGATCTACGCCAACGTGCCATCAGCTCCACAGCCCAGTGAAGAGCTCTACAGCACAGTGTGGGGTAGATGACCAAGCACCCAGCCCCATGGGCTGCTCCTGCTGCTGGCAGCACCAGTGAAACTTGCACAGAGGACATGGGGTTGATGTTCTGCTCAGGCAGGAGCCAGCTCCATAGCAGAGCTGTTGCTCTCCGAGGCTTGGATGTTTCTTTGAGGCAACATCAGAGAGGATGAGGTTGTGTGGAGGCATAGAGAGGGCTGAAGATAAAGTCATGCCTTTGCAAATGCAATTTGGAGTTCTCATCCGTACAGCAGTGGTGCTGGGAGTAAAGCTCTCCCCCTTGTAGTGGGGTAGTCCAGGCCAGAGACCCACCAGGCAAGGTGTGGGAGAGGTGGGCAGGGGAGGTGAGGCTGGGCTGGTGGGTGAGCTGGCTCCCTTTGCTCACCACTCATCCCACTTGCTCCTTTGGCTGCATTGCTTATGTGGGCTGAGGCTCCCAAACCCACTGTTCACCTCAGACTGACATGTTTTCATGCTAATGCCAGCTGGCAGCTCCTGGGAACCAGGACAGTGGGAAATGTTATATCCAAGTGCATTTGCATGGGGTGCTCGTGTGGAGGGTGAGCTGTGTCAGGATCTGGGTGCAGAAATGGCATCTCCCCAGCCCCTGGTCCCACAGGCCCCCAGGCAGTTTGCTCCTGCTCCTTGTCTCCCACCAGCCCAGAGGACCCCCAGCCTTGGAGCACACAGATGGGCTGTAACCATCACCTTGCTCTTCTCTGCTTTGCTGATAACTTTTTTTTTTTTTTCTTCTGGACCCACTAAATACTTTCTGTGAGAAGTGTTGCTGCTTTATCAGTGACACCAAGAATCCGATAGCATGGGCCGTGGTGTGTGACTGTGTTTGTACAGCAGCTCCCACCTGCTGAAGGGTTTATTGCAGAGTGTCACCCACCTGCTGAAGGGTTTATTGCAGAGTGTCACCCTGAAAGCAGGTCCAGCCCCTTGCTGGTGCCCAGCAGTGTGAGAACTCTCATCTTTAAGGACAAGGGCTCTTGGGCCTCCAGCACAAACCCACAGCTGCACCAGCAGCTACTGCAGCATCACTCCCCACTGGAACGTGCTGGTGCCCTCCCCCATGAGAGTTCACCCTTCTCCAGCCCAGTGCCAGGCAATTTATCCATCCATTCCCACGAAAAACAGGCCATAGGAATGGGTGTCCACTTGTGATGGGCTGGGAGCAGAAAACCTGAGCTCTTACACATACATGGTTTCATGCAAGTGGTTTTGCACAAAGAGGTGAATTCTCCCTTGCCATGAGAATTTGGGCACTGTATCTTTTTGCAACCCATCTGGTTTCAGGGCAGGGATGGTGATTTATGCTACAACCAGGAGGATGAAGTGGGAGCTTCTCACTCTCTACAAATACCTGAAAGGAGGTTGTAGTCAGGTGCAAGTTGGTCTCCTCACTCAGGTAACAAGCAACAGGACAAGGGAAAACAGGGTGCCACACGGGGAAACAACTCCACAAATTGTGCCAGTGGAGGTTTAGATTGGATATTAGTGAAAATTTCTCCCAGGGCTGTGAAGGAAATGGTAGAGTCACAATCCCTGGAGGGATGTAAAAGACATGTAGATGTAGCATTTGGGGACATGGTTTAGTGGTGGCCTTGGTGGGGCTGGGTTAATGGGTGGTCTTGATGTTCTTAGGGATCTTTTGCAGCCCAAAGTATTCTAGGTAGGGAGCCTTTTCCTGCTGCTGTGGAGATGCTGAGGCAATCTTGTTGCTCTCAGCTCTTGAGGCATGGACTAAATTGCTCCTCACAAAGGGGAAGCCCTCCTAGAACTCAGCAGGCTGCTCTGAGCCCTTCTGCAGCCTGGGGAGGCCCCTGCTATCAAAAGCTCTTCCTCTTAAAATCCTCAGGGGCATCCAGGCTGCAGTGCTCCCTCGGCTTTATCGGCACAGTCTGCCCACAGAGCTCACAGGAGCCATGGAACTCCCCGGGGCTGCTATCGCCACCCGGCCACTGCTTCCTATTCCCTCTGAAAGACTTCCCCCTGGAGCTTTCACAGGGAAAGGCTGAGAGGGCTGGGGGTGTTCAGGCTGCAGAGAAGGCTCCAAGGAGACCTCAGAGCCCCTAAAGGCCCCTCAGTGCCTACAGGGGTCTGGGAGAGCTGAAGGGTGGCTGGGAACAAGGGCCCAGAGTGCCAGGACAACGGGAATGGTTTCACAGTGCCAGGTGGAATATTGAGAAGGAATTGTTCCCTGAGAGGGTGGGCAGGCCCTGGCACACGGTGCCCAGAAAATCTGTGGCTGCCCCATCCCTGGAATGTCCTAGGCCAGGCTGGACAGGGCTTGGAGCAGCCTGGGCTAGTGAAGTGTCCCTGCCATGGCAGGGGGGTCCACAGCAGTGGCACAGACACGGCAGTGCACAGGTGCCACACACAGCTCCCATCACTCACAGTCCCCACGCATCCGCTCATGTTCACTCACACTCACACATTCACTTACATGCTCACACTCAAAGTCATTCACACACTCACACATTCACTTACATGCTCACACTCAAAGTCATTCACACACTCACACATTCATTTGCACACTGACATTCACCCATTCATTTGGACACTCACATTCACCCATTCATTTGGACACTCACATTCATTCACTCATTTACCAACAGCTCACACACATTCATTTACACTCATTCATTCATATTCATTCACTCACACATTAATTCGCTCACACTCACATTAATTTGCTCATATTTACTTATATTAATTGGCTCACACATTAATTAGCTTACACTCACACATTCACTCTCACATTTACTCACATTAATTAGCTCACACATTCATTCACTCACATTTACTCACACACATTCATTCACTCTCATTTACTCACATTAATTAGCTCACACTCACATTCACTCTCACATTTACTCACATTAATTAGCTCACACATTAATTTACTCTCTCATTTACTCACATTAATTAGCTCACACCCACATTAATTAGCTCACACATTCATTTACTCTCATTTACTTGCACGCTCGGGTTCTCTCGCAGACCCCGCCCCCGCCATCTGGCCCCGCCCATCGCAGCCCAGCCCCGCCCCTCCCGTTCCCGCGCATGCGCGGGGAGGCGGCGGCGCGGCGGGCCATGGTGGCCGGCGGGGCGATGGTGGCCGGCGGGCGGGCGCGGAAGCTGGTGCGGCGCTACCGGCTGGCGGCCGCCACGGCTCTCGCCATCCTCCTGCTCCAGGGGCTCGTCCTCTGGAGCTCCGCCGGCCTCGATGAGGAAGGCCTGGCCGAGGTGTGCCGCGGGAGGGAGGGGGGCGGCCGGGGCCTGCCGGGGGGACGGTGAGGGGAGGGGGAGCGGCGTTCGGGGGTGAGGGCCGTGCTGAATGAGGGCGATAAAAGGGCCGGGGGGCCGTGAGGGGGCTGGGGACGACGCAGGAGGCCGGGGAGGCCTGAGGGGCTCGAGGTGGCCTGAGGGGGGCTCATGGGAGGGCGATGGGTGCTGGGAGGGGGCTTCCGTGGAGGAGCCCTTGGGAGGGACAGTGCCCTGGGGCTGGCGCCTGTCCCCTTGCTCAGGGGCTGAGATGGGGACAAAGGGGGTGAGCTCTGTGGGGCTGGCAAGGCCCAGGCCCAGGATGGGGTTCCTGGGGTGGGGGGTCCTGCAGCCTCAGGCTGCTGGAGGGGTTGGTGGTGGGGTGGGCAGTGAGATGTTGCCCAGGGACCGCTGGGTGCAGCGGTGCAGATCGCAGCACCTGAGAAGGGGAGCTTGTGGCCCAGTGGGTTTGTTTTGGGTCTGGCATACAGTGGGGAGGGTGGGGGGCTTGATGGGGATCTTGCACTTGTGGTTTGGGAGATGTTGTGGGAAGTTGGGGTCAGGGACACCAAACCAAAAAACATGGAGTTCAGAGAGCTGGCAGGTTTGTGTCAGCTCCTGTGTAGCTGTTCTGGTAGGAGGTATTCCTGTGAAGTGGGGGACCTTTTGGAGTCACTGATGTCTTTATACCAGAGTACCCTGCTAAGGCCAAATACATTACTTCTTTCTTGTGAGTGTGGGGAAACTGAGGCACAGTCTGGTAAAGGAGTTTGCCCAAGGTCACAGAGAAGGTATCAAAGATGACCCAGGCTGATGAAGCACGTTGCTGGCACCTTCAAACAAAGCTTGCACCTGTGGGTTGTTAATTTGGATTTGTTTATTTGTTGGAAACTGCTCAGACTGTATCCAGGTCTGCTGTATCTGTGTGGACCAGTGTCTGAAGCCTCCTATTGCCTCCCTGGTGTGGAGGGTGATCCCATGGGCAGCAGGTCTAGAAGGCTTTCCTTGAGATAAAAGATGTGGGAAGGAGAACAGGGCAGCCCCTTGCAGTGGGAAAGGTCTCCAGAGTGACACCACTCAGTCAGCAGGTGAATTCCCAGCCTTAGGCCTCCTCCTGGGCACGGGAAATGGCCACAAGCACCCTCATGTGCTGCCATACGCCCATCACCATCACTGAACCAGGGAATGAATGTGGCAAGGAGAGGATCATGATCTGGAGGCACTGGAAGCCTGAGAGTAGACTGAACTGGCACCAAGGAGTGCCTAACTGCTCCACTGCCTGTTCTGTGACCTTGATCAAATTACTTCACCTGTCCTGGCTTCTCCTTCCCTCTGTGCCATCCTGCACTCTTTGTCTGCTGTTCTCTGCTCCTGCCCTTCACAGCCTCTTGGGTTGGCTCATTCTGCGTGGTCCTTGCCTGGTTTCCCCATGTCTCATCCCAAAACTGAGCTGAGTGGCTGAACAGGTTTGGCTGTGAGTCCCCTTTCCTGGAGAGCAAGCACCCTCATGTGTTGCCATACGCCCATCACCATCACTGAACCAGGGAATGAATGTGGCAAGGAGAGGATCATGATCTGGAGGCACTGGAAGCCTGAGAGTAGACTGAACTGGCACCAAGGAGTGCCTAACTGCTCCACTGCCTGTTCTGTGACCTTGATCAAATTACTTCACCTGTCCTGGCTTCTCCTTCCCTCTGTGCCATCCTGCACTCTTTGTCTGCTGTTCTCTGCTCCTGCCCTTCACAGCCTCTTGGGTTGGCTCATTCTGCGTGGTCCTTGCCTGGTTTCCCCATGTCTCATCCCAAAACTGAGCTGAGTGGCTGAACAGGTTTGGCTGTGAGTCCCCTTTCCTGGAGAGGAATTAGTTCACCACCAGCAGTCCTGGGAATTGACAGGCCTTGTCTTTGGGGAAGACAAGAGGCATCCTTAACTTCATGGACAGCCTGAACCCATTAGCAAGCTGGGAAAAGTCTATTTAACCTTTAGTTCTTATAAAATGCAAAACTCTTGATTTCTGTGCCATCCTGCCATCTGATTTTGGCCAGACCTAGAGGAGACACCATTTCCCTAAGGGCATTTCTGGTAAAGCCAGAGGAACAGTCCCGGGAGAGTCTGACCTTGCAGGCCTGAAAGGATCCGTGGAAGTTTGGGATTTCTTAATTGCCACAGTAAATAGCTCCTTCCCACTAATGGACACAGCTCATCCCCTCCGTGAATGCGCTGTGACTGGCTGTGGAGAAAGAAAGAACACTCGAGTCCTGGAAGTGCTGTGGAGTTGGCTGTGCCTCTTGGATCTATCAGTTCTCTTCCCAAGCCCTATTTTGGGGTCCTGCAAGGCTCCCCGTGTTTACCAAGCTTGATGGAGTGCAGACCAGGAGTATTTGGATCTGTCTCCATCTGCCCAAGTCAGCACTGTGTTTCCTCCTGGAAACCAAATTAATCTTGTTCCACCAGGATCAAAC